TTTGTTTGTTTACTTGGAAATATGATTATCAAGAATTAGCCTAAATTTGTGTTTTGGCTTATGTTTCAAATTATATTTTCGGATAAATTCAAATTCATTCAACAAAGAGAGAAAGTAGTATTTAAGTTAAAATAATCAATTGGAATACAATTTGCATAAATATTGCTAATAAATAATACATACAATTGTGTGCTGATTAATTTTTTTTTTTGTAAAATATAATTACTTCTATAATGGATTACTTAATTCTAAAAATTAAAATAATTTTGTTTTCATTGAGTGTAAAACATATCATTTCATAACACATACATATCCATATACAATCATTTTAATTTTAAATTTTAACTTTAAAATTGAAATTTTGAAAAAATTTTTTCTTTTTCTTTCTTTCAGGTTTTCAAACAATATTATATATTGCATTTATCATCAAAACTACCACAGCAATTGGTGGTATTTTTGGTTTAAAAGCTGCTACCGGTGATATACCACATATTGGTTTTGGTAATCCATGGATTACTCAACCTCAATTTGCACATGGTAAAAATGATTAATAAAATTTTTTGAAAAATTTTATAAATTTTTAATTTTTTAATCAAAAAAATATCAATAATTTTATACCATTTAACTTGTTTTTTTAATTATAATGAATAATTTATAATTTCAAATTTAATTTTTTTTTTTTTTTTAGCTGGTTTACCACATTCACCATATCCATTATGGGGATACGGTAATAGAGGTATTTATTATCCATATTATCCATATTTGCAATTTTTACAACAACCGACAAGCAGATTTTGGTCATCAAGACATCATTTTCATAGGGGTGGAGGATTTCCATGGATGATTCATGGATAATAAATTATTACTGTCATCTATGATTTCCTTCCATTTTAATTATTTTGTAATTAATTATTTCACTATTTTAATTTCATTGCATTAATTAACAAACTTTAATTTAATTTAAAAAAAAACGGATAATTATATTTAAAATAACAAAAAAAAAAAAAACATTAACAATAATTTAATAATATTTTATTTATTACTAATTAAATCATACGTATATTTTCTAAAATTATATTTGTATAATTTTAATATGTGGCTGAAATTTTTTATTAAAAAAATTGTTAAATTTAACTGCCTGAATTGTTTGCTAATTTTGATTTTAATTAGTCATAATTTTGTTGAATTAATTGAGAAAAGGAAGTAATAAAAATATTCATTTTATTGTATCGATTTATCTTTTCGAAATTATTATTCTAATGTTTCAATATTTTCACAAAAATTTTCAAACCTTCAATATAAATTGTCTGATTGTAATTTCTTGATTTTAATTTCAAATTAGATCATTTTAATTAATTAGTATATTTGTAATTTGGTATACATTCTTATTGTTATTGCCAGTATTTTTGATAAAACTGTTGCATTATAATAAATCGTTGTATTTCAAACATTTTGACATTAACTATTAATTCCGATTAATTAACTTTAATTTAAATTTTAATTACAAAACCTGCATAAACATATTGATTTGTTCATTTTATTGCGCAATATTTTTTAATTAAATTTATCGTTTTTATATTTACAAATGTAACAATGATGAACATAGAAAGCATAGCACAACATGATTTAATTATTGAAACGTTTTAATTTTAATTTTAATTTAAAATTTTTACGACAAGACTGGCAAGCAAAAAATCAATTCCAATTATGTTTTGATTTCTAATTTCTGCAATTTTTTTTTTTTTGCAAATATTAAACTTTTCAAAGATCTAATAAACAGAAATTAGCAGTTACTAAATAACTTACGTAATTTTAAAAAATTTTAATGAATACTTTTTTGTATTATTTATGTAGCTAATTTATATTTAATCTAAATTTTGTTTCCATTTATGTGACGGTATTTAGCAACAAATATTCCCAAATTATTGATTAAAAAAAAACCAAATCAGATATTTAAATGATAATCACAAATCGAATATTTAAATACTGATAATAACTTCAATATTTAAATAAAAGAAGCAAATAGAAATATTAATTTTCTTTTTTCAGATAAAAATTGCAGCGCAAAAATAAATAAATTAAAAGTATTTGAATAATTGAATTGAAATGAAAAAGGGGAAAAAAAATTATATTACATATAATCAACCATTTCAGTGCTTTTATTAATAAATTAATTTTTTGCAATGAATTTAATCATCATCTATTTATAAATTTCTATTATTTATAAATTATTAGATAAGATTTTACTGTGCAAATGTATAAATGAACTAATTAACGAATCATTTTTCTTTCTTCTATTTCTTTTTTTTAATTTTTTTAAAAAAGGATTTTAGACAATAGAAAATAAACAAAAATATTATTATACCAAACTATTTCAACATTTTTTTTCATTCCATAAAAAGTTGAATAAATTATTATAAAACATTTATTAATTATTACTTTAATTAAGCATACAAAAGTTGGAGAATGAAAGAAAAAAAAATGAAATAAATTGCTTACAAATTGAATTATTTCTTCGAAATATTTAAATTAACTTCTATACTATAAAATTTTTTCTTGTTTTTTGTAAGATGGATGAGTAAATTTTAATTTAAAGATTGTTATCAACAATTTTAAATTCACTATACTAGCCTTTTGTCTTATTGATAATCATTAGATATTCAATAATAAATGCAAAATATTTGAATCAAAATTTTAATTAATCAATAAATCGTTTTTTTTTTTTTTAAATTGTCTTTCCTTTCTTTTTTTTTTTTGCTGAGATTATTTAAGTGCTTGAGGTTAAATATGGGAAATTTTACACTTTTAAGCATTTATTTTAAAAAGGCTAAAAAAAACGAGAAAAAACAAAAGGCTAATAAAAAAAACAATAGGCTAGCAAAAAAAAAAAAGCAAAACAAAAATTAAAAAAAACATTTAAATAATTATTAATAATATGAATGGACCAAAATTAAACTAGTACCAATTATAAATATAATTACAAAATCTGATAGTTTGTTCAAAAAAAAAAAAATTTAAATTTATTAATGAAAATTAACTGGTGAATTTCAAATTAATTAAGAAAAAAATTAATTTTCCCTCTCTCCACCTCTCTCCTTCTATCTCTCCTTCTCTTCCCTCTTCTTCCTCTCTCTCTCTTTTTTCCCTTTTCTCCTTTACGAAATACATTAAAATTAAAGGAAACGAATTACTGAATTATAATGATAAAAAGAATTAAATTATTTGAGATTATTACTAATGCTTAAAATATTAATTGGAAAAAGAAAAAGGAAAGAATTTGGAAAAAAAGAATGGAATTTTTATGACTCTTTAAATTTTAATAAGTCCTTTTTCAATAAAAGAAAAAAAATTCACAATATCCATTTTCAATTAAATCTTTTTTTTTCTTCTATTAAAAGCTTAAAAATGTAAAATATATTAGCTTAGGGAATTGATTTGAAAGTTAAATTCGAAATGTAATTGTATTTCTATCCTCTCTCCTTTCCAATGCCATTATCATTTCCTTCCTAAAATTTCATCAAAATAACTTTCCTTTTCTTTTTTCCTATTTCTCCTATTGCAAACAAAAAAAAGTTTTTTTTTTTTTTGTCGTCTTAAAATTATTCCATTAGTATGACAATTTGTTATAAGTTAAAATTATGCAAATTTTCATGGAATTCATTGAATTTAAATTAAATTCGAATTTTGTATCTTATTGGAAACAAATACATTTGTAAATTATAAAATTAAAATCAAATAAAATTAAAATGAAATAGTTCATTAAACTGTTTGATTTTTTCGTTTCATTTTTTTTTTATCAAATATAAAATTTAAATATAATGCAACTTAATTATGCTTATTAAAATTATCAATTAACAAATTTTAGGTAAAAAAATTTTTTTGAAAACAAGAAATATGAATAAAAAAAAATTATTATATAATAGCTGTCTAGATAATTTCTATTTAAACTGTTTGATTTTTTCGTTATATTATAATTAACTTATATTTTATTTATTTAAATTTCATATTTGATAATAAAAAAAAATGAAACGAAAAAGTCAAACAATTTAACAAACTATTGTATCTAGATAATATCCATTTAAGTTGTTCGCTTATGCGAAAAATTTAAATAAATATTAAGTATTAAAATATTTAATAAAAAATGTATTACAGTAATTAATATATTAAACAATAAATAAAATTATATTCAAATAACTTATCAGAAATAATATTAATTGATTGCAGAAAACATTTGCCTTCATTTAGATTTAATTTTTTTTTTTTTTGTTCACTGCTATCAATATATTAGTAACACTTAACCTAATCTTATCAGTGATAACTTTACAAATGTATGATAAAAGGCGAAATTATTGTAATGAAGTGAAAATAATGAAGTGTTAAGATGAATATTAATGATTTCAAATAAGGATAATTTGATAAATTTCGACAAATTCCATCGATTGATCATTACAGTACTCCTGTCAATTTTTCATTAATCATTAAAAATTTTAGTACATGATCGATAAATTGCAAATTGTTAAAACAAGTTTGCATATAATTATTTCATTTATATAAAAGAAGATAGAATACCATGGAATACGTTTATTTACAATTAATTAAAAAGTTTGGATAAATATTGATTATTAAATTAGTCAATAAAACAAATGTATTCAAATACTTAATATATTAAACAATAACCGAAATGTATTTAAATATTTAATAAAATACAAATATTTTCTTATCGTTATTTTATCGCTAAATATTTCTTTATTGTTTTATTGTTATTTTCATCACATCATTTTCATTTATTATTCCAATAAAAGGAAGGAAAAGGAAATGAAATGGAATTTTAGTAAATTTTATAATTATTATTCCCAATATTATCCGTTTTATAATCATTTCACTACACTTATCTTTTGATAATCATTACAGTATTTTTGTTGATTTTTCATTAATCATAAAAAATTTTAGTGTATTTATCACAAAATGATAATATGGTAGATATTATTTGCTATTCGAATATATTCCTATTTTAATTCTTTGAACAAAAAAAAAAAGGCTGGGTTAAAAGTAGAAGTAAAATAAAAATTAATTTGAAAATTTTAGGAAAAAAATTAAAATTTTCTTTTGAAAAAATCGTTTTTTTAATTAAAAAAAAACTATTCATTTGTTTGAGTGCATGCGATTGCTTAGGAAGATATTTGGATTTAAAAATATATATATATATATTGAAAAAATGAAAAAATAAATTAAAAAATATTGAAAAAATGAAAAAATGAATTAACGATGACAGAAAAAAAACTTGCAATCGTACAATTCTTAGAATAATGTAATGATAAAGTAATTTGAAAAAAAAAATTCAATTAATTTTAAAATAAACAATTACTTATGATAATATATGATAAGTTTAAATGATAATATATAATAAGTTTAAATGATAATATACGAATAAGTTTAAATGATAATATATGATAAGTTTAAATGATAATATATGATAAGTTTAAATGACAATA